CAATAAATATCATGGCATAGAATTACTGATAAACCTTATTTATAGGTTCATAATAACAACTTATGACTATAAATATAAGTTACATTGAAAGAAATAGAGTGTAGCTTAACTCAAAGAGGTTTTAAGAGAAAACTGGGAAAATACGCGAACATAATTTCGACCCGAATGCTCCTTCTCATTGGGCTCTTAGAGTTCCCGAGACTATACTAAAATATTCTAAAGGTTAGGAAGAAAGCCTATTTTGAGAGCTAGATAGTTTAGAGAGACGTGTGAAGGAATTGTGTGGAAATAAGCAAGAATTCGGAGGTATTTATAGCCATCTAGCAGAGGTGTGTCGCGCGAGGTCCAGGGTGCGCCGCGTATGGCTGCCTTGCTGGCTCCTTCAGCCTCCTGCCACGTATCGCGTCGCTGTTCGCCCACCTCGCCTCTTTCTAGAATGTGACATGTGTCATGATCTTATGGAGCCACGTGTTGCATTTTTTATGGAGCCACGTCGATGTGTCTCTCGGATGAAGCGGCTCCCAACCATGCCATGTGGCGCCCTCTCATGGTGCCACGTCATCAGCGCACGCAACGCACTTTGTGCATACAATTTTCCATATTTTCAACAATGTCATAACTTTTTAATACGAGCTCCATTTTCGAAGTTCTTTATATCCCTTGAAAGCTCTCAACGAGATCTACAACTTTCATTTAGACTTCATCGCCTAATTTTGACTTTATTTATTTCACATAGGCTTAGACTGTTAAAGCCCGTATAAAATGCATAACTCTCTCATCCGATGTCCGTTTTCGACTGTCTTTATATCGTTGAACTTCTATTAACGAGATCTTCGATTCTCGTTTTAGATTATTTCGGCTAAAAATCGACCGATCTAAAATTCGATTTCTGTGTTGTATACTGTTATGCTGAATCTTAGAAAAATCATAACTTCCTCTCACGAAGTTAGATTTAGATGTTCTCTATATGCACACTCTCGGTTTAACGACTACTAAAACTTTCGTTTAGGCCACTTAGGCTAAAAAGTAATTTATCGAAAATTCTCTTTCTACGATACGCAGAGTCGTGTTGGTTTAATCGCGAAACTTCGAATAAGCATAACTTCTTCATACAAAGTCGGATTTCAACGTTCTTTATATGTACTGAATCATTGTCACATATACTACGACTTTGGTTAAGATTATTTATCCTAAATAATATTCTATAAAATGTCATTTTATAGTCTATTTTATTTTAATTGACTAACCCGAATCTGCGGGTGTTACAAGAGACAGAGTAAAAGAAAAAAACAGATGACACTTACAAAATATCAAAGAGAGAACACCATAATTCCCACTTACAATTATCAAATTTACCCATATTCTTTAACCAATTAAAACCCAAGGAAAATACATTATCCACCAGTTTGGAAGAGTTAGATGTAAAGCCCATTGAACCAAACATCATTTCTAGCCTTCAAAGCACACCACAAGAATCCATAGCAAATGACAATGAAAATCTTTCGTTTTTTAGGTCAATTCTCCCAAGAAACCGCGAAGCTAACAAAATTGGAGTTGATGTGAACACCTCTCCGAGCTAAAGCCATCGTCGAAGGAATACGACCCAAACAAACCCTCTAAGTGAAACAATTGCATTTAAGAGGAACAAGATGGGTCCAAACTGTGAGATTATCAGAACCGTCAATTTGTTGTCTATAATAGCCCTTAAACTACTGACATAAAACTTGTCATCTCTCGGCATCTTTGACCTCCAAGAGTCAGAACCGCCGAAACTCTTAAAAAGTCCGACCAGGTTGTTGAGCAGGTTGAGCTCAATCAACTCATTCTGATTTCTTGGCTGCTTCTTCCAGTCCCAAATAAACTTGTCACCTGCCCATCTCTCGGAATTGAAGCACGACTTCCTCTTGTCTAAAGAAAAAACATAAGGGAATTTAGAGGCTAGGTCCCATCTCCTAACAAATCATCGAGCCGAACGAGGGTTTAAGAACCGTCTCTCGCCTGAAAATCAAAACCAGAAGAAAAATTGATGCCTAAATCGATTAGCCCATTTATAGTTTTTACAATATTGCCCCAAGTTCCAAGGATTGTTTTTTGGCCCAGTCATTAAACATAAATTAGTATGCTATCTAGTGTTTATATTGATTCATCTCTCATATAATAAATTATTTACCAAAATAGTTTCAACTTTGTTTAAACAAAGTTTTAATAAGCTTATGTTCCATATGCACCACCATTGTCATAACTCATAAGTATGGTTCTATACACCATCACCCACCATGATCATCATTACCATCATCATCATAACCATAATTCCGTTCACCACCACTACTTTCTACAAGAACCACCACAAACCACCATTCCCACCACCATCATCACAACTTAATCAAGAACCCCACATCAAACGTCTCAAGAATTTGATACTATCACAAATTCACAATAACACATCAAGTCATCAACACAAGAAAAAACAGGAATCAAGATGCAAAACATAAGTGAAAAGTTAAGATTGTTATTTAAAACACTAACTGTAATAATTTACAGTACTCAAACTACAAGACCTTTCGGCATTTGGTTACATAAAAAGATCCGAAGAAAAAAAAAGACCATAAAACAAACAACTCTTCGCCATTTGTACACAAGATTGAAAACACCACCCATACTAAATCAACACAAACTTCAACATATCACAAATTACATTTGGTCATTTCCTACTTACTTTTCACCATCTTCAACACCTAAACCATACAAAACACCTGCATATTTCTCTGTGTTTCCATTAAAATAACCTTCTTTCAACTCTTAAAAGCATGAGAAGTAAGCAAACTATCAGATCCAGCCTGATGACAAACACCAATTCTTTCAACTTCCAAAATCTCCGCAAGCTTATTCAATCCACCATGAAGAGAGTTGCAAAACCTCATCAAATGTTTGATATCATAAAAATTGGGAATAAATCTTGATAAATAAGAACCCTGTTTGAGATTTAGGCAACTCTTTTCGGGTCAACAATTTAAGCAAGTATCCAAATCATACCCACTATGGAAAGTTACCAACAGATATTATCATTCAAAACAACACCTGAAGACATTAAGAGCTCTCCAAATCGATTTGCATCAATACCCATTTCACTGTTCTTCTTGAAATCAATCCCACACTGTTTTAGCATCTCGATTGAATCATTAGCAAAGATGTCTTCGTTCACATTGAACTCGCGGAAATTAAACTGCCAAATGCAAGGCTTATCGGAGCCACAGGTTGGTAGATTCCCATTTTCATCGGAGAAAGTGAGACCCAACTGAATCAACTTCAACATATCGACATTATCCTTCAAAGTTACATAGTTATAGTCGTTAATATTCTTAAATTGTGCCAGTGGACGTAGAACAACACCTGGGAACTCGGTATCCATTGCGATGTAAGGGTAATCGTCGACAATTTCTCGAATCAAAGCAAATTCTTCTTCAAGATTGTCGTTCCATACCTCTCTAATTTGAACCGAATCGGTTTTGGGCAAGAGGATTGACATATTAAAGATTCAATTTTTACAGATGGGGTTTTCGAATTTCTCTATAATTCAACCAGATCTGCAACAAATCAAACAAAAACAACAAAACCCCTCTTTAGATCAAACCCAGAAAGCAATAGATCGAAAAAAAATCCATCATTTATCAACTGATTTCAAGAAAACTTGAAGATCAAATAGATAGCCAAAGACGGAAAACGGATCTTACCTTTTCTGAACACGATGAAATCTGAGATTTAGTTAATCGAACAGATCTTGAAGTTCCGATTCACTTTGAAACTGTTTCCTTCTTTGAAGATTTAAAGTGTTTAGGGTTTGATTTGGGTCAACGAGATTGAACATAGAGCCTTTTGATCATAGAGATGAGAGAGAAGATTAGATGGGGGAGTACAAGGCTCTTAAATCAACTGGAGGAGGCAGTGCCAACAGAGATAGAGAGAAGGGAAAGTGACATTGTTAGTGGTGAAAACTGGCCAAACGATGTCGTTTTGATGCGGTGCATTTCATGACCCTTGGTACCCTAGAGTTGACCATTTGAAAATCAAATAATGTTATTATTTTTAATTTACATGACTTTTCAAAGTCTGATTTTTTTGAATGCGTCTTTGGGAATATGAATTTTCCAGAGTGTTCAAAGCAAAATAGAAGACTTTAATGCAAAATTTTATAAGTATATGATGTTCTTTTAAGCTAAATAAGATATTGGAATCAAGGTCTCTAATAACCTGGAATTGTTAATTAGAAGGAAGACATTTTTTATTTAGAAAAAAGGGTCCCTAGATTTGTTCTAAACGAGCATATTCTTTACTTATAATTATTTTTAATAGAAATGTGAAGTTGTTTTTGAAGTTAAATTATTGGTTTCAATCTTTATGCAATGGGCACCCGGCTCGTGGGCTTACACGGGCAATCAAGCTTAGAGGTGCACAAAGGAAACTAGACTTTTTTTTATTATGAAATCCGATCAATTCTTAGGAGTGTCTCTCATTGTTGGAGAGTCATTTGTGCCTAGCCGGACTTTGTTTTGAGCGTGTTCAACACGAAGCGTGTGGGAGCGTTTAAGAGCTTTTAGCTTTTAATGTTTGACAAAACGCTCCGTTTTGAACAAAAAATCACGTTTGGCACTACAAGCTTCTAGTGTTTAGTTTAAACAAAACGCTACAAATCCAAATGTTACTTCATGTAGCGTTTAACAAAACGCTACAAGCTACTCGCTACCAGCTAGTTTTGTCGAACACACCATTTGTCTCTTCAAATTTCAGGCTAGATGAGGATTGTATTATTTAGACTTCTCGAGGTATAATGTCATACCGGGAGGAAAAGTGGGCTAACATTCGGTCCATTAGGAGAACATGTCGAGGTCCGGATTTTTTGTAAACCGATTTGATTATATCGGGTAACCGATCTGTCTAACATGGATCGACCAGATCTTTATAATTTTGAAATTAGATTTTTACTACATAAAAAGCCGTAAGTAATCCAGAAAAAAAAAACATATCTAAATGTAATCGTTATAAATAAATATATAAATAATATAACCCCCACAATTATCATTTCCCTTCTAGGCTTAGCATAACTATGTGTTTGTTCATTTGGTTTCAACACACCATAACAACATTCTTATTCTCTTAATCTTGAAAATACGACAACCTCATAATCTTTTGCTTCCGCTTCCTTTGGTAGTAACGGAGTTACCGGATCATAAATCTAAGCAAAATGTTAGATGTGGTGAAATTTGGTAAATGTATTGAAACAAAGTCATTTCGTGTAAGTGCAATTATTGTATCGTGAATGATGGAGAACAAAACACTTTATGCAGAAATTTGTGGCAAATTTTATAACCCTATATAGCAGCAGGCTTTCAAAGTGGTGTTCAATCCAACACAATCTAGTATCATATCGGATGGTGGTTTATTTATCACAACAAGGACAATGTACAAATAGTTTTTGTAAAGTTTGTCATCGAAGAAGTGCTTCCATTCGACAACCTATGACTTACAGAATTTATCTAAATGAAGTTTCAACCACATTATTATCCTGTTACTCATGCTGCCTTTGACGAGATGTAATAAAATTTGTTACCGAAGCAAGAAAAGAAAAGATTATAAGATTTGAAAAGTATAATTATTTTATTTTTCTATATGTGATGTTTGGATCACTCCATATAGAAATGTTAATTCATGTCTATTCGTTATGGTACAATGGTTCCACCCGCAAACTTGGAGTAATGATGAAACCAACTATAGTCCTTCAAATTTTTTATTACATACATATCGGTTCGAATTTATATAATACATGAAGTTATTATCCTATTCTAATTTGTTTTTCAATTTCACTTGATGACGTTTCAAATAATATCAGCACCATAATTGTCTTAAATTATGCTTAAAACCTTTTTAGACAATATATTCTTTAATACTTGGTGTGTTGTACATATCATTAAAATAGTTGTACAAGACGAATTAAAAATTACAGAAAAAATAAAGTTAGAATTTATGATACATTAGGTGGAATTTTACTTGTTTATGTCTGAAAGTATTTTTCAATAAAAGTTGTTTTTCATATCTTTTCATGAATTACTATCGTGGAATTTTACTTGTTTATGTTTGAAAGTGTTTTTCAGTTTCAAATCTTTTCATGATTCATTATTGGGAAAAAGGTGAGTCAATCAAATCCCTTTTGAGGATTATAATTTACTCCAAGAATCATGCAGCTCTTATAAGTTTTCAAAAAAAACATGTTTTTAACTTGTTTATTATCCTACAAGTTATTTAGTTCTCAATAAAAAAAATGAGAAAGAAGAAATCAAATATCCTTTTACTTTTTTCTCGTATTATCTTCCTATAGACTTAAAATTATAACACTTGTCATATTTAATCAAATTGATAAATTTTTAATTATGTTTGTTAGGAAGATAGATAGAAAAAATAAGTAGAAGAATATTTAATTTCTCGTGAAAAAATAATTCATATACCCATTGCTATCTCCTTTACGTCATTTTGCATCCAGGTATGTTTTTTAATTCATTCCTCTTATTCATATAATATTCACAAAATTTATTTTCAATTCTGTATTGATCGAATAGTTAATTTATATAGTCAATAATATGATTAATTAGTTGTTTTGATCCAATAGTATAATTGTTTTCTGTTTTTGAGTCTAACATTTGGTCTAATTTCTTGATTTGGATTATGCCCACCACGTGTTTGATTTATTACCACTATGGGTTTCATGTTTTTCTGTCAACCGACTTTGTTGGACTTTTAGCCAAAATGATTATGTAACATCCCACAATTTATAAGGTAAAATTTTCATTTTTAATTCAACCATAAACACCATTTATCATTTTCAATCATTCCAAAGTATATCAGAGTAAAAATAGTTATCAGAGTACAATCTCAAAATCGTAAAGTTGCGAAAACATGAGTGGATGCGTTGCGATCAAATCGTAAAGTTGCGGAAACATGGGTGGATGCGCTGCGATCACGTCGGGCCCTTTTCTTTCGAACCGAGAATACCTGAAACCATAAACATAAACCGTAAACACAAGGCTTAGTGAGTTCCACAAAATATCACATACCATACATACAATGGGCCTTGCCTGACAACCATCGGGCCCTGCTCAGAACAGATCTGTCAGTTACATGCGATGGGCCCCACCCAACACACTCATCAGGCCCTGCCTGGGATCGAACCCCGCCCGGTATACCTACAAACATATACAATACAATCAAGAGTCACAAAGACAGCTAGCATACTACACATTTATCAGGCCCCGTCTGGCATCAGGCCCCTCCATGTATATATACAAGCACATACAATACATGCAAGAGTCTCACAGACAGCTAGCATACAAATAGCAATAATCCATGGGCCGACATTGGTGCCTTCGACCCGCTAAACACTAGGAGGAGACTCACCTCAATCTGTCGAAAACCAACTATGCTCACGAGTCGATGCTAAGAAAGCTCCACACACACTAATCAAACCAAAACCATTATCCTAATTAATAATTAACATAATACCCATCGAACGAGTCAACAACTCAACAATTCCAAGAATATGCAAAATACCATTTCCCCCCCCCCCCCCCCCCCCCCATTAAGTCCAAGACACTTAACAGTTGACCAAAAGTCAACATGTCTACAAAAGTCAACGAAAGTCAAAAGTTGTTGAGTAAGCACAACGTACTCAGACTTACACCCGACGTACGCATGTTTAGCCCAATACGCGCAACGTGCTCTAGAGTACGCCCAACGTACTAGTCAATCCCCATTTCTCAATCCAAATGGCTTAATCCATTAAGCTTGTAATGTTCAAACCTCAGATCTACTGCTAAATAAAGTCCTAATACGTAAAGTTGGCAACTTTACTCCTTTGAATCTCTTATTAGGACCTAATACCCGTTTTTATCCATCTAAGTCCATAATATGGACACCAACTCTTGCATGGTTCATCAAAACCCATCAAGATGACATTTTTATGCCCTAACAACAACAGGAATGTTAAGATCTAACATTCTAAGCTTCCAAGAGTAGCTCATACTCACAAGGATGACCCAATGGACCATATTAAGCTCAAAACAAGCCCTAAACTATATCTAACACTTAGAATCATCAAGATAAGAGCTTTATACCTTCAAATACTAGCAAAGTTGATGAAGACTCTGGATCTTTAAGCTCTAATCCAACCAAAGCTTCACCACCAAAATCTTCCTTCTTCAAAGAGTACCAAAATGCCAAAAGATTACTACCAAGGCTTAAAACCACACAAGAACAAGTTAGGGTTTCATAGGGAGTCTTTAGAGGGAAGGAGACTGATGATAAGAAGGTCCAAGAGAAAGATAAAGTGTTTAAATAGGGTCCAAACCCTAAAAATTAGGGTTTATCCCAAGTGTCTGTACGCCCAACATATGTGGTTGCCTTCGGCGATCAAACTTGAGCCTAGTACACCCAGCGTACTCCTTGTACGCTCATCGTACTCGGCTTTGCCCAAAATCCTCA